CCCCAAAACCCCAAAACCCCAAAACCCCACAAATCCAAAATTAACAAAATTATTAAATCAAGAAATTATGAAAAAATATATAAAAATTAGATGAAAATCATTCCATCTTCACATAGGGGGTTCCGGTTCTAAATCAATCTCTGGTGCCATAGAAACTCTTCTTGAATCAAAATCTCTAGCAGAGATGTTATACTTACTATTTGGTCCACTTTCATCATTAGATCTCTCTGAAATAGCATTCATCTTGGTTTGATTGACTGTATTGAATATACTACTCTGATTGGCTCTAAGTTTTCTCAAGACATGCTTGCTGTCTTAAATAAATTTCTGCTATCTCATCATATACTCTTGATTTTTTTAATTTTCATATTACAAATCATCCTGCGATGAGGAGGCAAACATGAATCTCTCTCCCTATTTCCGATCAGTTTCTGTCTTTTCAGATTTGGCCTACACAGCAGTCTTCTAACTAACTGGATTATTTTGGAATATGATCTTTTAAAGTTTCTTTACTTCCTTACTCTATGGACTTTCATAGTCTGGGTTGTAGTTTAATAAGAATTCCAGATCTTTAAATATCAGTTTTTTCCCGTCATAGAATTCTAACTGCCCAAATATTCGTTCAATCTGATTGTCAAGACACCTTACCAGTTTGTCTCCTTATTTCCTGAACAACTCAATAAAGTGATATTTGTGCGGATTTGAGACTTTAACTGCAGTTATAAAAAACTTCCTATTTGGATAAAATAAATGAATAAATTACAGCTTAGTTCTTGAAAGCTCAACCAGGTACTCAGACATCTGGCCAGGAATTACTCTTTGATTTCTCACTAAAACTTTCCTTTTCTAAGGCAATCCGATTACTTAGACCATTTTAGTATAGTAATCTTTGTTGAATGCCTTATCAACCAATACAGCATTCCTCGGTTTCTTCTCTATGCCATTCAAAGACTACTATTTTTATTCTTGAGTTGAAAGAAACATCTAGTCCACGGTAACTCTTTGATGATCAAAGTCAAACTAAGCTCTCTTATTGAAATCTTGCCTTTATAAATAGGGAAGTTGCTGTGGTAGTTCTGATTTAACTTGACTGTAGTTTCTATGATGTCTATTCATTTCGATTTACTAATCTATCAATTGCTATTACCTTTGAAAATTCTCTTTATATTATGACAAATCTTAATGCGAGATAGATTTCTTTCGATGATTAAAGTTTCTCTCATCGTTATTATTTATATTAATTTGCCTTTCATTTTCTTCAATAACTTGCTTTAAATCTCTCTCATGCTAATACAATTCCTATCTAAACTCTTTAAGTTTATCATGAGAGGCGTAACGATTCATAGTGTTTTTATCTTAATCCTACTTATTGAAATGTGATAGTGTGGACCTTTGTTGCTGAATACGTTCGAGCATCTTAAAATTATCAACCATTATACTTTCCCATTTCTTTTTCCTCATGTTCTTTTACTGCTTCTATATTTGATCTTAATACACTGTCTACTGCATATGCTATTGCTAGGTCTACTTTTTAAGTTGACTCTCCTCATGCAATATCTTCATTAATCTTTGACCCATTCTCCTATTCTCAAAATTAATGTGATTTTCGCTATCTGGATTTATATTTTATCTATGTCTACGAGAGGATGAATGTCTATTGAGCTAAATAGGAGTATGATCTTAAGAATTGACTTCATCTGGATGAAAAGCTAATTTATGTCTGTGCATTTTTCTTGGTATCTCAGCATTCATATACTCATCGTTGGGATCATTAAAGTAAGGCAGCACTTTATTTCTTGCAGATACAATGGGAATAACAGGCATCTAAACTTCTCTTTGCTCTAAATCATGTTCAGAGACTATAGTCAATCCATAGTCCACTGTCTTTGCATTCAGAAATTTATTTTAATGATTTTTAATCACTCAGGGTGTGTGAAATTAATTGAATGGCGTGTGCTCAAGATAGGCTTTTGAGTGATTGACGTTTAGTTGAGGGAGAATGTGATTCTCAGACATTTATTGTATTAAATTCTAATGTAAAATAAACCTAAACTCAAACTCTAAATCTTGCTTAATACATGCATCTAGGGGTTTTGGGGTTTTGGGGTTTTGGGG